CACAATGCACTGGGCACTTTCATATGCAAATTTTATAGAGGGAGTCGAGAATTCCACTGGAAGGAATTGTGGGCATAAAAGTAAGAATGATATATTTAGCTCTCAGCATGTTTTGGTTTTGGACAATAAAACCAATTAACATATATTGTCCTATGTATAGATCGAAGCCACATATTATAATGTGCGTTTACACGGAAAGATCATCGTTTTTTATCTTTTCAAAACAAACTGGGTGTGTTCATCGTTTCCTGCGCGATAGGCCTAAACGCGAGAAAAGATCTGTGTCTTCAAAACATTTCCAACTCTCCTTATACTCACTCTAAACCTTGAAACTAGAAAAACCAAATGCCAAATGAAAACGTTTGATTCGTGTTATTCGGTCGCAGCAGTTTTAATGCTCCCCAATTTTTATCTACAGAATGTGTACTGTTTGACTTTGAAACTGGACGACTTGACGGATGGACCCTGACAGGAACAGCATTCAACAATCAGCCAACCTATGGAGATAACCCTCGAGCTCGTGGACGGCCATCATCGAACCTCAAAGGAAACTGGTACATAGGAACAGTTGAAAACAGACCCAGTCCATCTCACCCAGTACAACTGCARGGAAATGGCCCTACAGGAACTGCCACCTCGCCGCTATTTGTAATTCGAGGTTCAAAACTGACGTTTCTAATTGGTGGKGGCTCTGACGTTAATACTGMACGACTCGAATTGCTGATTGGTGGAAATGTAGTTGCCAAGGCAGCGAGTACAAAGAACAGCGATGCCATGGAGCAACAACAGATCGATACTTCGTCTCTGAGAGGCCAGGTAGCTCAGGTTCGAATCGTTGACGAGTCGTCAGTCAGTTGGGGTCTTATCAGCGTTGACCACATCAAGGAAAATTGCCCATAGAATTACTTACTGGAAAGGTATAGAACGGTGTGACCAGAAAGCATGCAAGTGTATCATAATGACTTTAATAGGAGTAACAGGAACATTTGTACGAWGAACATCCTCTGTTTTTCAGCTACTGTATTTGGTAGAAATTACGATCACGGATTGAGTAAACACCTCTATAATAGTAATGGAACATTTTTCTATTATTGTATTGATTCACATCTTTGTCACATTTCAATCTAAGAATTGCCCTACAAAAGTTGTCCTTCGTTTAGCAGCCATATATAGTAATCTTACCTTATTTGGAAGTTCGATAGGAATGGTTTTTGTCGATTTTCTCGAC